ATACATTTTATTAGATTAGTATTTTTTTTTTGAAAAAAGTAATTTAAATGCCAAGAATTACCTTTACAAGTTTGCCACGGATCCACAATAGTTATGAAAGTGATTTTATATATTTCATTTTATAACCGGTATTGAACAGTTGATTCAATTCTGAGTTTACGACTATCAATGTTCAACTCGGTATTCTTATAATTTTGATCATAAACTAAAAGACAAGAAAATTTCTGGATCAAGCATCGGTGCAAACAAGCCTTTGTGGACGAGTTTTTAATGGAACTGAACCACGTTTGTATCACATAGAGAGGGAAACTACAAAAATCTTCCATGGTTAGCCATACAGCAAGGGGATTCTATCCCATGCGCCGTCTACCACTGGGGATATTTTATGCTAACACTGTGGTCTGCCCGAGCCGGAAGCAGAAATCGCATCAACCAGCCACCAAATAGGATTTGAATCTGCGTCACCTCATTTTGAAGCCATCGCATTCCCCTGAGCTACCACGGCTCTATAATAGGGGAAATAATAGTAATTTTCTTGGTTGATAAGATTTAAACAGGTATTTCAAACTGTGTGTAGACTAAAAACCTCATCTACTAGTTCCATNATATATAATATTTTTTTTATCGCAAAAGTTCTATTAGCGATTTCTGCCATAATTTTCCTTTTACTATTTTTAACCGCAAATTTATGCGAGACAAAATCTTTAACCACCATGAATATTGTCTTCTTCTTCGTCAGCGCAACAGCCTCTATGCCTTGGCAGTCTCAATCGCTGACAAACGCCAGCGCCTCCTATCCAAGGCAACCTTCCAATCTCTAATCCTTAGGGTTTTCAAACCATTTTCGATTGAGCCATCTTGTAGGGGGTCCTCCTCTGGAGCGTGACCATCCCCGGGGTTCTTAAAGGTTCACATGACGCTATTTTCAGAGCAGCTTCTCTATAGATGGCCCAGCTGTGGATTATTTGTGTAATTTGGGAGCTGTTTATAGAGCTCAAAGTTATATCTGAGAATAATTTTTCTTTCGAAGGTGTATATCCGAGTTCCATAAAGTCATTCTCAGTCCAAAGAACGCCATTTTGATTCTTAAGTGTGTAAACCCTTTCAAAGGATTTACAGTTTAGAACGAAAATGAGCGTCGAACACCCTTCCCACATTAGAAGAAAGCTCACTAGTGAACTCTATTTATTGGACGGATAATTTCCCCAAAGAATTGAAATAATTTTTAAAGTTTATTAGTCTTCCACATTGTCTTATAAATTAAAATTACAGTTTATGATCTGGAACTGCAATAGTACAGGCCACATTATAAGACACGCACTCTAAGATTCTTCGCAAAATCTCAATTATCAGGTCACAGCTTTATTGTTTTGACGAGACTTTGTACTTTCGTGTATCCATTGGTTAACAGTGTAATGCAATACGTTTAAATGAAATACAAATAAGAAGTATGTAAAAAATCTCCTAAATAAAAACCCGATGCATGCATGTTTAAATGTAAGAGCCTATAAACTCGTGCAAAACATACACTTATTTAAACACTACAGTCCGTATAATAATTGGGTCTTATTATTATAGTATAATACCTGATATAATAAATATTCTATATTTATATAATGTATTTATCCTATGAACCAATTCATACACAGACGTAAGCAAGTACAAACAGTCACGTAAAATCTCACCTGATAATTCTAAATAGAATCGTGCGTCTAATGAAGAAATAGGATTTGTTAATGAATTCCCTCTAAAATTTTCGTAAATATTGTGGGGTCCTTAGACAAAATATATAGTTATTTGTAAGGAATCTGTGTTGAACAAATTTGCTTCTGTACTTTACTATAATATGATTGTTAAAACACGCCAATGACGATAAATGCAATGCAATGTGTGTGCAATAAAGTCTTTGAAAGCTCGCCGTGTGCACTTTTAAAATTAGTTTTTCTCAATCGCATAAAAACAGACTGAATGTTGAAAATCTTCACTAATAATATCGCTCAAAAATGATTAGTATTTGGATGAATTGTTAAAGTGAGATCAATCAAATGGACCCTTATTCTGAAGAATTCATTTGATTCTAAAATTTCTTACTTTAAAATGATTTGTTAGATTTTGTTGTTCCTCACACACTGGGCTATTGTCTGGGAGGGATCCCTGAGGATGATCCGAAGACATGCCATCACAATTTTGATCATCTGCAGAGGAACCCCCGCTTCGGTAGCCAGACGACCTGCACGCGAAATCGAGCAGTTTAACGAGATCCAAGTGGTTACTCACACTGACCGCAACCAGTGATGCTTGACTTCGGTGATCTGCTGTCTTAACGATCAGTCCACTGCGGGACTTGTTAGATTTTGATTAAGGTTCCTAACTATTTTCTCTTTTTTTTAACACAGCACAGTAGTAAAAATTTTGCAGCCGTTTCATGCCATAATAGAGTTCAAACTTATAGCTACCTTTATGTAGTGAGCCCTATTTTCCTACTTCTTCGCACGAAGTTCAACTTCAATGACTTTTAGTTGCTTACTTTATTTGAGCCATATTATTTTATTTCTTAAAAGTATTCGCTATAGTTAAACTTGAACGGGTTCACTTTATCTTACCACTACATATTTGATTATCTTATTTGAGGCTTAAACTTCATTCATTCAAAGAACCGATTTTTCTTCACTTTATTTTTGCGAAAGATCTATTTTCAGGGCTATGATAAATAAAGGTGTTAATTCTAGTGATACCATTCCATCACATTATCTTACTTCAGAACATAAAAATATTTTATGAATCGTTTGTATCAAGTTCCTTCTATTTTTGCAATGTATAGTTATTGAACTGTTTTAATCATTATTATTGTTATGTCAACAGATGAAACATATTGTTATTATTTATTGCAAAATGAGAAAAAAGGTTATTTGGTTACAGAAAGAAAAGAATGTTCTGTGGTTAGCTATTGATCTCTGTGCAGCATGCCTGCTTAGACTAATATGTACATATTTGTAAATTATATAATAATAATAAAGATTTTAAAATGATGAAAATTTGTGGAATATATTCTAGTACTGAACACAATTGTACTTTAATAGAACAGGCGTCTCAAGGAAGTGCAATTTCTCCAAACATTAACCATTGTCTCAGGAATTCTTTCAGGAATCAGCTTTTTCTCTGTTATAATTTGAAATATACTGCCCTGAAGAAAAACCTAACTAAGAAGAAATCGCAGCACCTTGAAACACTTACTCAATTTTAAAAGAAGTTGGTTATTATTGCTAATAGTAGTGTACACGAATGTACACATACGCTGGTTCATTAAATACTATAATTTCAACAAACAATACTTTATTTCACAATTGTAAATAACCAAAATCATTGCACTATTGCAATGGAAGCCACGACTGGCTCAAACAAGAGTTCAAGATCAACTGAGTAGTTCGAAACAATTACAACAGATGGCGTTTCGCTTAAGACCGAACATGCCGGCCCCTTGAAATATTTAACATATTTCACCAATAGCTAATATGCATTGAAACACAAGAATCACAATAAAATTATTAGAAATATTTGATTTCAATTAATAGAATAAAATTGTGGACTGTAGAAAAATATTTGTTCCAATATTAAATGAATGCACAATTCCAAATTTAAAGGAAATTATTAAAATACAATGATACAATACAAATATAAACTAAAATTAATTCAATGAGGTTACAATTAATACCAAACTATTTATTGTCCTCAATAGGTAAAATACTCAATTTATGAATTGGTCTTTTAAATAAACCTTTAGATGTTCGCACTAAAACAATCCTAACCTTTTTATCTTTGCCAGATATAGTTTCTTCAACTCTACCAATTATCCAATGACATACTGGAAGATTATCTTCCCTAACTGGAACCAGGGGTAACATCATCCTTCGAAAATTGCCACTTAGTTCGTTCGTGTAAATTAGACAAGTAATCTCTTTGCCACCTTTTCCAAATATTTTGAATAAATTTTGTAACTGTTTCCCGTCTAGACAATCTGTTATCTGGAATTTGAATGATTTCGGGTAAAAAATGACCTGGCGACAGAGCGTTCATATCCTTTGCATTTGTAGATAATGGGGTAATTGGTCTAGAGTTTAAAATTCCCTCCATCTGCGTAACAAGGGTCAAAAATTCCTCAAATGTTAGTTTTGAAATTCCAACAGTCTTTTAAAAGTGGGTTTTAAAGGATTTCACTGTTGCTTCCCAAATACCCCTGAAATGAGGGCCACATTGCGGTATAAATTTCCAAGTAACCTCTTCTGTTAACAGATAATCAATTAATTCTTGCTCCGGGGATTGAGCCAAACTATATAACCGTTTTAACTCGTTCCGAGCTCCACCAAAATTACTCGCATTATCACTCATTAACCTCGAACATTTTCCCCTTCTTGCCAAAAACCTTTTTAATGTGGCAATCAAGGACTCAGTTGTTAAGTCCGATACAATTTCCAAATGTACTGCTCGTGTGCAAAGGCACACAAAAACTGCTACATATATTTTTTGAAGACTTACTTCTCTTTGATTCTTTTGCTTGACAAAAAATGGGGCGCAGAAATCTAAGCCCGATTTATTAAAGGTGAACTCAGGATTTAATCGATAAGATGGAAGGTTACTTATTAATTGATCAATAGCTACAGGTCTAAATTTAAAACAAGTAACACACTCGTGCACTATTTTTCTGGCAAGATTTCTTCCGTGAATTGGCCAAAACCTTTGGCAAACAGAATTAAGTAATGCCTGGGGACCAAGATGCAAATCTTTTAAATGGAAATACAACATAATTAAGCTTATGACCCGCAGGCAAAATAATGGGAAGCTTACATGCGAGTGGGCGGCCAAACGACCACCCACCCTCAATATACCATCTGCATCTAAAAAAGCGATTTAATCTCACTCTTAGAAGAAATTGTACGTTTCTGAATATCTGCAATATCAGAAGAAAATTCATGCCCCTCTAATCAAAAACAATTCGGATAATTTTAACTCGAAATCGGTCCCGTACTTTTCTTTGCTGAGTTTTTAGCATTTCTTACAAACCTGAAAATAAAACTTAAGATTCTGATTAGTTTCATATAACTATTGCTTTTGTTCAAAAAATCAATTATAAAAGTGTTTTTCTCAAAGACAGTAAAATCAAGGTCAGAATTTTTCTTGAGTTCAGCCATATATTCATCACTGGAAGAAGGAGAATGTTCGAATTGCTTGTAGTCCTCAGTCTTTAAAAAAGGAGCGCCATGCCACCAAAGTTCAGAGTTTGAGATTTTGTCTGCAGTAACACCACGCGATATAAGGTCAGCAGGGTTGCTTTCGGAAGGCACATGTCCCCATTTAAATAATCTAGTGATTTCTTGAATCTTGGACACTCTATTCGATACGAAAGTTTTCAACAAACATGGATCAGTTCGTATCCACGCCAAAGTTATGGTTGAATCCAACCACAAGTAGAAATTTTGTATATCCATTTGAAGAGCTTTTAGCAGTTTCTGTAGAAATTTGGACATTAGTTCAGCCGCCAATAATTCTAAACGAGGAATCGTCAACTTTTTTATCGGCGCTATGCGTGACTTGCTGCACAGTAAGTTAATAGTCACTTTATTCAATTCATTCTTACATCGTAAATAAATCGCTGCACCGTATGCATCTTGCGAAGCATCGCAGAGGGAAAGGATTTCAAAGGAGGCAACAGTTCCATTCGCAACACAGTGGTTTATTTTAATGTCTTTCTCACAGAGAAGAGAGGAAGCATACTTCTCCCACTCCTTAACCTTGCAGTCTGGCAGAACCTGGTCCCAATCGAGTTTTTGTAGCCAGAGCTTTTGCATAAAAATGTTGGCCTTCACTATCACCGGCCCCAAGGGGCCTAATGGATCAAACAGTCTTGAAATGCACGATAAAACTGTTCTTTTAGTACAGTTCGTCAGATTAGTGCTATCTGAAATTGAAAATTCAAACAAATCTGCATTTGGGTTCCATATCACACCGAGAGTCTTAACGTTGTTTTTAATATCGAAATGGTACTCTTGGTCTTCATACGGTAAGTTTTCCAACAAGGACTGTTCATTAGAAGACCATTTGTGTAAATCCATGCCACCCCGATGAAGAAGGTTTATTAACCGATTCTTTAACTCTAAGACAGAAGAAATATCATTAGCCCCCGAGACTACATCGTGCATATAACAATCATTTTGGACGACACGAGCTGCAATCCATCCCTTCATCAATCTGTCTTAAGACACGCGTTGCCAAAAATGAAGCAGAGGTAGTACCATAGGTAACAGCTTGTAAATTTTAGCTTCTTCATCTTTATTCCATTTCCAGAATATTCTTGGTAAGTCTCGTTGATTTTCATCAATTAAGACAGTGCGAAACATACCTTTAATATCAGCCGTAAAGGCTACATGATGTTTCCTAAATCTACACATAATCGAAAATAAATCATCCTGAAGCACGCCCCCCTTCATTTGTATAGAGTAAAGTGATTCACCACTCGATGCTTGCGCACTAGCATCAAAAACTACACGCAATTTTGAGGTAGTTTTGTCCGGGCGATGCACGCCAAGATGGGGAATATAATAACTAGTGTTTACATTAATATCGGTGTCAACTAGTTGCATATGTCCTGAATTTTGATATTCAAGCATAAAGTCCTTATATAAGTTACAAAGTTCAGGATTATAGTCTAACTTTCTATATATATTATTCAATCTCTTTGAAGCTAGTTTTTTTGAATCACCTAAGCATTGGGAATCCTTTTTGAGTGGCATTTGAACCACATATCTACCACATTCGTTGCGAGAATGCGTTTTTAAAAAATGGTCTGACGAAACACTTTCGATTTCCCAAAATTTCTGAAGAGAATCTTCAGTATTTTCAGAAGTATGTGTTAAACCGCAAAAGGAATTTAAATGGTTCTCATGAACCTTACCCGTTGCTATCAAACCAAAAGCAGAATTTTGGAATAACAAATTAGGAGAAACTCTGGTTTTTCCTTCTTTTAAAATATCATAAAAGAGCTCAGCTCCTATAGTCATGTTTATTTTTCTCGGTATCTCAAAATTTGGATCAGCTAATAACGCACGATCAGGAATTAAATGCTCACTAATTTTAATGGGAGTCGATGGAATCAAGTCCGTAATTCTAGAAACTTCTAATAATTCAACCTGCGAAGAAAAAGATAAATCCTTATTACAAATCAAAGAAGTCGCCTTCCACTTAACATTCATTTTATTCTCTCCCAATCCACTAACAGAAATGTTTATTTTTTCTCGCTTCAACCCCAAATCAAAACAAATATCAGAATTTAAATAATTCGATTGACTGCCATTGTCCAACAATGCTCTTAGTAAAACATATTTATTTTTAAGCGGACTCCAGATGTTAATTAAAGCAGTTGATAGAAGAACTAATTTATTACTACTAGGAGGCTTCGCCCCCTGCTCGCTAACGCTCACCAACCCCCGAAACTGCTTTCGCAGTTCATTTCGGATTGCTTCGCAATCCAATGCTCGCTTTGCTCGCTCATTGGCTACGCTCTGAACGTCTAGCTTTTGTATACCTTTTTGAATACTGAAGTTCCGAAAACTTTTCCCTGTAGAAAATTCTAAACCTGTACATTTCAATATTAATTTGAAATTGCAAACAGTTCACATATTTTTCTTAATCACACTATTCTAAATTTCAGTTGTTGAGAAAAGTAACTGTTGTAAGTTTTGTTT